TCGTTCATTGCAGTTTGAAGGGCTTTTCATCGCCTGCTCTTTGACGCTCCCAGTTTCTTCCATTGTTTTGGGGGTCTGATTTTATTCTTATTCTTCCATTGTTTTTGGGGGGTCTGATTTTATTCTTATAGTGACATTTTAGAAATCGCGGGATTCTCCAAATTGTTCCCCATTCTTTCATTGCTTCTTCCTAGAGAACAACTGAAGTTTTTTTAGCTCCCAAACCTTTCCATGGAGTGCTTCCTAACTTCTGCCTACATCGATACCAGCGAGATTGCCATGTGTTGGTTTTATTAGCTGTTTAACGACTAGAGGAGATGATCTTCATGAGAGGCTAGTGAAAGGCCCACGAGCCTGGTGATGGGCCGGGACGGCTCATGAGAAGTCGCAGAAGTTAACGTCGGTGTTGAGATCGAGCTCTGACCAGAGAGCTTCTCGATTTTTCCGATCTCTTTCCCTCTCCAACCAGTTTTTCAATCATCGTGCCATCCTGCATTGCAGTCGAGTTACAATGAAAGCGGCCTGATTCTTCTTCGTACTTCTTTAACAACATTCTGCATATCCCCCTTGCAATCGCTCGATGCTATGAATATGGGCCATTAACACCCACTCGCCCTATTCATTCTTTTGACTTCAGCTATCATTTGGGGGTGTTCACGGTTAGTCACTTTATTTCTTTTTTTGGATACAAATCCACTCTTGGATCCAAGCCGATCTGTGCCCCTATACAGGCGCTAGCCTAAGGAAATCGAAACTGTGGTAATTTTCAGTGTTGATGCGGTTTTGAGCGGATTTCTGTCCACTACCTTCGAAAAAACTCTTCAGACATTTCAAGGCTCCCCATACCGAGCTCATTCCCTCCCTTCCTCTGCTCCCGGTTACAGCAACGCTCGCTGGAGTAGTTCAAAGAGTAGCTAGGGGCTGAAGTTCACGAATAAGGCAAATACGAGTTCTGGCATTCGGCTGTACGACTATCCTTTTGCCCATGCAAAAATGATCGGGTTCTCCTGGACCACCCCTAAGCAAGAACTATTGGCAACGTTCACTGTGACATAGGAGGCGTCTCCCGTTCAGACACAACCCGTACGTCACATCAAGTCGTTTTCCCCGTTTCGTCCATCATCTCCACCCTATTGATCATCGACTAATCATCGATTTATCTCGCCGACGACGCCTTATCATCGGCCCGCCCAGTTGTCGAGGCATGCCACCCGCTCCGAAGTAGTGCGGTCCTGGTTCCATCGGTCGATAATCGATGCTTTGCTTTTCACTTATCGATCGGATGTTTCATTGTCAATATTTATCGAGGCGGAGTCGATTCACGGACAAATGATTCATAGCAGCTACACCACAGTTCGGGTGGTGGCTGTCTTAGGCATAGGCAACATACTAAATGCCCTTTTTCGGTATTTCCTGGTGGTGCATAACCAGTGTAACTTTCCCTGTCTCTGCAGGGTCTGGGGAATCCTACCGTATCGATGCCGGCACTTTAGAAGAAAACAAGTTGTGCTGAGTTGTGTGTTACAGGCGTAATTTTTTGTAATAGTCTGTGGAGCCTGTTTTCATTTTTCTTCCGCTCTCAAAATTCGTCTTTCCATCGTTTGATTTGTCATTCACTTAGCGTTGAGACAGTCGTCGTCGTCGTCGCATTACCATTAGCATAGCAATCAACAAAACCCCCCGAACAATAATGGATTTTTGTGTTCCAGGCGATATTCTCGTGATGCCATCCAAGTGAAAGGATCAGAGGCGCGGCTTCTGCGTGTGCCCCAACAAAACCAGAAAAAATTCGAACGACTACCATATTTTCGTACTGCTGCTACACATTACTTATTCAAGCTGATCTACAGAGAGCCCTCATCAGTGGAATTCGGTCTTCTTCCTTGGGTTCATTCATCGATAGTGACTAGGCTGAGCAACCTATTCGTCGTGTCGACGTCTTCAGCTCTTCATCATGGATCACAGCCAGTTGATGGCAGAAATGCCAGAGATCGAGAAGATGACGGCTCAGGAGCGTATCGCGCTCGCCAAGTACGTTTCTTGCATCCAATCGTCTTTTCCGATTTTTTGAATATTTTCTTTACAACTTTTCCTTTTTTTGAAATTATTTTCATATTTACCAATGTTTTGATGCTATCTTGGAGCTTCTCCAAGTCTTGTTCCTACTAGACGTTCTAGATCATGTAGTTTATAAGATTTCAGTTCGAATTGAATCAATTAGATTTCGTTTGAAATCTGATGACCTAAAAGAGGTAGATATCGATTGAACTCGATTTTGACGAGCTTAGACTGCGATTCTGACGCCTCCAAACATTTCCACCGTCACTATAGATAATTCCCTTACTGAGGGTAATAGGGTGTTTTCCAGTGATTTCATACCTGTAACTTTATTAGCAGGTAAGACCATCTGACCGTCGTCTGTCAAGGTAAATCGAAATCGATTCATCAGTTGTTCATAATGACTATGGACAACAACGGATATTATCCAGCATGATAGTTCTTCACTTTTCATCTGCTAGTCCACTGCGCAAACAAATTATTCAGATCTGTCCAGGGATGGAGTGGGTAGGTTTGGCGAACATGCATTTATTCTGGGTCGCTTGAGAAAGACTGTGATCGAAAGTAGCTTCCAAAAGTGTCTTGAAATGTCTCTAATCCGTTTCTCTTTACTGCTGAGCACTCGTAATGGCTACGTACCGTGTCGGACGTACATGTCTTCATTATGGGCATAAAATGTGAGCGACAAGCGTTGACGCTCTCACACCAACAAAAGCTGCTTTGGTCGCTCTAATTCCAGCCGCTTAATTGGTTTCACTTCTGTCTTAGAACGGTGAAATGCGAATTTCCGACCATTTATAGATTTATCTCGACTTTCTCAGACGTAAGCCCACAATTATGCTTTTGAATGGTTATACGATTTCAACTCAATTGCTCTTATACCACTTTTTCCTACCGCATTGGTCGGCCGTAATCATTGTCTCCATTTGTCTCTTACTACCATGATTTACCGCTTCACTATCCACCACAGGGGGGCTGTCTCTGAAAAAACCCAAACTGCCAGGGTCTTACTACCATGATCTACCGCTTCACCGTCTACAGGTGGGTTACACCCAAACTGCCATTGCTAGGGTTTTATTAAGAGCATTTTATTTGCATAGGGGACTGCAGGTACACACCGGACTTTGGGAAGGAACGGCTCATATGTCCGACAAGGGACTGATGGGCCAAGCTTGAGAGTGTTTGGGGCTTTCTATTGTTTCCAATTTCCCTCTCTTCAACTTTTCCACTGAGTGCTCATTGTCGCTGACTATCTCTGCAAACTAATTCTNGGGGGGGGGGGGCAATGTTGAACAGATTGGTTGTCATTATTTGCAAATACCTTGTTGAATTATTTGTATTGATACAGATGCCCTACACGATATGTTCATACATTGATTGCTATACACCGCCGCCATCGATTGTCCCTTTATTTTTAGGGCAACGTCATTCCCAGCATGAACGGGGAATGTCGTTGTTCCTATTTACATAGGGTGACATGATAGAGATGACTGGGTCTGTTTGAGTCAGCGCTTCAAAACTGACTAAAGTTCTCAATTTTGAGGGAATGACCGAATGGTACGGTAGATGGTACTAGCTAGATAATCGAACAGAAGCGACGAAACGAAATTCGAACCAACAGCGTAGTCCTGGGAGCGTAATCGTCAATTTATTCCAACATTTTCACTCCTTCAAGGAAAACTATACACATCTGTGTGTACCACAAGAAGAACGTAAAATAATGAGACTTTGTAGACCATAGGGAACAGTAAACGACTTCATTTTTGTAGCAAACAGTGAGTAATTCTTCTGGGGGCTACTTACCCAAGTTCTCTCTGGTTTACTTCCCATCCTTCTCCTTTTTGTCTTCACTTTCTTTTTGGAAAGCAATCTTCATTGCGTCGTCACTTAATCGTCTATTAGGCAGGATTTGTTGAAAAATGGGCTTTGACGTCAAATTAATGCCTCTAAAGCTCTCTCTCTTCGGCTTCTGACAGAATTTCCGAGTTTATCGTTGAATTGATTAGTAAGAAACTTGAAAGGGCTTTTTGCAGTCATGAATCAGAGTGAGATCCCTCATAGCTACACTGAAAACGTCTGGGTGACCTTCATAGCGATCAGCAAAATCGTTCTTTGGGTAAATATCGTGCCTCTTGGAGTATAAAGTCCCATTATTTTACTTTCTTCTTATGGTAACCACAGATGTGAATAGTTTCCCTTGTGGGAGAAGAAATGTCGAAATAGATGATCGATTACTTTCCCAGGACTCCGTTATTTGTACAAGTTTCGTTTTCGTTCTATGGGTAGTTCGATGTGTCTTGTTTTCTTTTTCTAAGAATTGAACCAGTCGGGGTTATTCAGTGGTAAGTACATTCGTCCCCTTAGACTAAATGGGGAACTGGCTTCATACTAATTAACCATTACAGTACGAGCAGAAACTGATTGGTTTGGGCAACTCTTAGGGCGTGCATGCATATGACGCTTTCCAGTCTGTTCGTCGCCCTCCAGTTTCTCCTTCATAGGAGGTGGTCCTTTTTTTTTGATCGAGAGGGCCGTCCTTTTTTGTCTGCGGCAAAACTTTGATGCTTACGGGCTTCATGTTGTGGGAAGGAGCAGGGGCAACGTTTAACTTTTTCTGTTTCATTTCCTCGGCTCCTTTCTAATGAATTTTGAATGAATCACGCTTTTCCCCCTGATATTCAAGATAATGAGATTCGCCATCGAAGTTGTAGCGACTATGAGTGATGCGATACTCAGGCAATAGAGAATCTAAAGGAGGGGTGGGGGTAACGAAAGCAGACATGACTCACCTAATAGCACTGGTTTGGAGTATTCATAAGGAAAATATCGTAAAGAAAAAGTCAGTTGAACTATTCAGACGCCAATTTGGCTTTATTTCTGCTTTTCGCCATGATAAGTGTTCTGTAGAAAAAGAGAAATGCATCTCAAACTGCAACTAGGAAACTTGCTTTTGTATATCATCTCCGCCTCAACAGCTACTGTAACTCTTTTGTTTTCAACACCTCGGACTTGCCTAATCCATTAAATTCCTTTTTACTGGGTAATCTCGTCTTGTCCGGATGTGTTGTAGAGCCAAGTGGCCCATTGTCACACGGCATGGGTCAGGTATTCGCATGGGACGAATTTTGAATTAGGTACCTCCCCAGGCCAATCAAACCTTCCATCGCTTGGGATAGATAAAAGGCACAGATCACGATAAATTTGAGGTACCTTTTTTTGGGTAGAAAAGCGGAAGTGGTGATGTAGAGGAGTACATCGGTGGCGAAGAAAGCGAGAAAATCCGCCCACTTCAAAACTTTTTGAAAGTGTGGAAGCGGAGGTTGTACGAGTCACCGTGACGGGAATGGCGTGGAAGGGATGTTTGGACGAGATTCAACTTGCTCCCATTGCGCAAAAGGATGACTATATCAAGCAGAAATTGTCCGAAACTGCCTTTCACAGTCGCCATTGGTTATGACAAGTTGTTAGAACTTGGGAATCCCTGGATTAGTGCAGCCACTACAAAGCCGTTAAAGCCCGTCCACAATGGGGTGGCATTCACACGATACAGTCTCTGGCCCCTTATTGTGCCCTATCCATGATGTTTTTCAACTTTATATCGGCAAGTATGATTTAAGAGGGAGCCTCGAATTTATACTACACGGAAATCTCAGGAACCATTTTTATCGTGTACTGTGCCTTTAACTTGTCTGGGAGGATGAAAGCACAGACTTGTACATCGGCTGGCTAGGGTAATTCACTGGTCTTTCACATGGTTTTTTTCGAAATCTCTGCTGGACAGTGGATCCCGACGCGGGATAAGACTGGGAAACTAGCGTTCCTAATCCGAATTCGATACATCATGGTTGTCTTGCTGTTCGACGTTCAATGCTCTCATGACTCACAGTATGGGTTTTGTTGATCTGAGTGTTGATAAATGTAACGTGTAATACTCACCAAGAGCAACTTAAGACCGATGCATAGCACTAGGAACTAGTTATGTGGATAAAATGCAGATTTGGCTAAAATCTCGTCAAAGTCGGGAAAAGGTGGACACCTTCCACAATATCCTGGGTGGGAATGGGTAAGCTGTAGCCGGATACGCTATGTACCATTGCTCCTTATTGCTCCTTTTAGCATCAAGATATCTTGTGACTGCTTATCAAAATGTAAACAAGGGAGGCATGGATCTGAAGCCTAAGTTATTACTTTAAAGTGTTTCGTGATAGTAATGGAATTGGGAAGTTGGCCAGATAGATCGAGAAAGAGGCAGTGGTGAAGTAGGAAAACTACTTGAAAGTTAATATTCATCATTTACCCTATTTATCCAATGAGAAAAGTCGGATAATTTGCTTACTCTCTGTGTCAACAATGTAGGGAACCTTTATTGATTTAAAAGCGCCCAATCTTCACATCACAATTAAGTTTCGTTCTAGTGTAAATCTTCGAATTCTCTTTCTGCGTTTGTATTTTTAATGCCCGAATTAGTTTGAAAAAAAAAGATCGGCGAAATAAAGCTGGAGGTATCATGCATGAGAACTGCCCACTTTTATAATTCTTGGATATGTCCCGAAGAGCCAAGTACTATGTAGTTGATGAAAAAACAACAAAAAGTTGTCACTCCAAATCGCAGCTGTTAGTATCTCAGAGATTAAGATGGGGTATGGCAGGAGCGTCGAAGCTGGCCTTTCAGTAGTGGTTGTTCCTTGAAGAAGCATTATTTTGATGTGTTGTACAAAATAAAATAGGGATAAACATAAAAATTTTTTGGCGTTCACAAATCGCCGACCCCTGAGGGATGCAAGGTTTGGTTGGCCTGGGCGGGCATCGATCCGGGATTCGAATCCCTGACCGTGCATGTGATACAGTGCACCACTTGCCACTACACCACCTCAAAATAAAATATTCCCAGGAATCAAATTCCATGCCCTCTCATCTTTAAACCTCGGATTTCTGTTGTTCTTGAAATTGTTAATTTTGCTTCTGCCTCGAGGTTGTTAGGTGGAAGTCTGTATTCTGGCCAACGTTTCGACAGACTCGTCGTTTTCAATGATTCGCTACACGGTTAGTATATTAGTGGCGAATTGATTCGCTATTAAAGGCACGGTTCACGATAAAAAAGGTTACTGAATTTTTCCTTTAGGAATACTCAGCGCCCCCATGGGTCGTAGAAGGGACCCTCTCGCTTCCACAATCTCGGCGCTTAGGGCATAGTGGAGGC